ACTGAACATCGGCTAAAAGACAAAAAACAGACACGGCCCACCAGATACTAACTCGTACTTTGTCGACACATATATAAATATATTTGTCAAATGATGTTGTTCTAAATATGTTTCCGTGTTTACTGTAAATGAATAAGTAAGTTTTCCATGTGTTTTTCACTTAAATGACTTTTATGCATGAATCTGAATTTTTGAAAAGAACAAGCTTCAGCCTTCCTATTCAAATACAGATCTATGTACATATTCAAGAGATAGTTGAATTAGTTATCTATTTTCGTTGAGATTTATACAAGAAATGAATAACTTGTGGATAAATAATTTACACAATAACACAGTAAGTCATTTGGCATTGACCCAGAGTAAAATTTGAAATTTACTTTAAAGTTCTTTTCAAATTTCAACAGAAAACCAAAAGCAAAACTAACTTTTATGCTATTAACTATTGTAAGAAATATCCGGCATGGAGTCCGTAAGGTCCTTTCCAAACAGTCATCTACATATCATATTGGGTACACTTACATCAAAACGACTATTGCCCGACTGTCTGATGTTATTTTGAAGAGACAAAAGCTTATATAAGCCCTTTGTCCTGTACAGATATACATAATAAACTTTATTTTCCCTGAGCTGATCCCTAAATTATCAAATAAATTATCACTTTATGACATCAGAACCCATGTTTATATATCAATTATGCATGACCTAGATGACACCGGATGAATAATACTTTCACATGATCAGAAACCGAGACAGTTATCACAGTATAATATTAGATTATGCCACTGTAGTTTTGCTTTCCAGACTCAATACAGATTATAGATGATTACTAACAATCAATTTTGACACTAATGATATTTTTTTTCTAGAATAAACACACGGTATGGTAGATTGATATCTAACCATCAAAATAAGATAACATCAATTATGCTTTTTCTAGACTATTTTTAACTCATTCACCCTTGAAATTTCATAATGAACGATTCCAACCTTTGAACTGGAAGAGTTCAAACGTGTCTTCAGGGGTAAATGGGTTAATGTTCAGATAAGATATTTTACTGTTATTTATAGATATTACTTCATAGTTCATAACTGGTTTTTTTTGTTGCTTGTATCATACTCTATATATTTACATTAGAATTTTTGACACAACAAAATATTTCTTCATGACATTAGATTATATTTTAAAATGTTTCCTATTTAAAAAAAAAGTAATATCATGTGAACACAGGTATTTTCATTGATACCTTTAAATTGTGTGCTATCTCTTAAACAACATATATATATTAAATTAATAATAAAAATAAATAACACATGAAAAAACCTCTCATTTGTAGCATTAACAAGTTTCCTAGAATTTCATCCATGTGTTGTAACCTTTATACATGTAACTTAAGCTGCCTTCAGCTAAGGTGAAGGATTACCGATCAGATGCATTGTGGGAAAAAGCTATAGTAACCACGGTAACCAGCTGAAAGAGTGACAACAAGTCAATATTTGAGCCACAAGCAACCAAGCTAGGAAATAAATCCACTTTGGGGGTGAATTCCCTTTACAGTTTGTAATTTGCCATCCTCATTCCAGAGATCCAACGTTAATTAGACCTGTCAAACTGACTGCATAATAAAGTGAAAACGTAAACTGTTACCAGTAGTACTACCAGCGGTGTTTTGTAAAACCGGTCTCAGATGACAACATACGCACCTGATAATAGGTTGAATTTATGCATACATATTTACAGTGATATAAATATGTTTCATACAATATGACATACAGTGCTCAGTTTTATACCCAGGCAGTTATAATATATGCCAGGTTTGGTAAAATGTGAAACAAAATATTTGAAATCTCGATTTTTATAACCAATACAGATAAATTTTAAAAAACAACAACAATGGAAATATTATTGCTTTTAGCATAAATATCTCTTACAAAATTCTGTAAACAATATGTTATCTTGATCATGAGGCAAACATGCCGAGATCTACTAGACTATAAACAATGGAATGAAACACTTTTCCAAAACACTGCCAGGAACAAAAGATCGGAATTGAAATTGTTTAGAGTTGTATTCTATACTAAAGAGAGGGCCAAGTTCAGACTGTCAAATAGATGCTATACATTTCAATGGAAAATTCCAAGTAAACAATAACCAGCTAAGAACAGGCTCTACTGCCCGAGAGACTTGGAGAAAGAATTTTGTCAGTCTCACCCAAGGGGAAAAGGATGGCGAGAAAGGGTTGTTTAAGGCCACAAACTTGTGTAGGCCCTCCTGGAGCAGGAAGTGCTCTAAATCAATAAACTAGGTCACCATCCTTTGTGGGTAAAGGAACAAAAGGGCTAATATAACTGACTTGGTATATATTTATTAAAAGAAGAGAGTGTCTGACTAAGCTGGCAAAATGTGTGCTTTAGTTAACGAACAGGATATAACATTTATTTGTAGAAGAATTTTGAGTTAGACAATAAAATATTTGGACCAAATTGAAATTACAAGCAAACAGAGCTAGAGCTATCTCAAGTCTAGAACCAGTGTGTGTTTCAAATTGGTTCCCGGAGCCTGCACCAGACTGCAAAGTTATCACAAAATTTAGAAATACAGAAACCGCACGCATACACAATGGAACATATATCATAACAATGCTGTACACCTGGCACAAATTTACATGCATGTATAACTCCTATTTCCCATCCGAAGATAGCAATGTCATCTCCCAAACAATTCAGGCAAATATAAAGTCTCTCTCATCGCAACATATTACAAAAATTCCAAAATTGAAATGACATAAATAGACCTATTACTGCAGTGGGCTTATTTTTTCATTTTTTTCAAATGGAGCCTTTTTGAAACAACTTGGGAAGAAAATATACCAATTGGAAAGGACATTTTTAAGAGTAAACAGCAAATATTGGGAATCCGTATAAATATGAAATAAAACTTTTCAATCAGTAATAGAGCCCATTCAAGTCCAACCCAAAAGTCCCCATATCAATGTATCAGTTCTTAGCACTTCTTAGGTCAAATGGAATATGATAAATGTCAGGAGCCCAAAACTATAAGGCACAACCTGAGAACAAAGAGCAAAGCAACAAACCAAAAGGGTTTCTCTTTGCATTAATTTACCTATAGCTTTCGGGTCTTATGTACACATCCTATATAGTATATTAGTTTATGAAAGGTCATGAAGTTTTGAAGTTGCAGCAAAAGTTAATGTACAACCAACTCCAGATTGAAAAGCACTAAATCTTTAAAACAATATTTCATTTTTGAAACTGGTTTGATAGTCTGGTACCAGATCAAATCCTGTCAGAGAGGTTGACATCTTTAAAAACATGCCTATGAGGACAATTAACTTTTTTCATGGGGCATTTTTGATTGGCTGAGAGACACAGGGAATCCCTTCGACACTGACAAGTCAGGTGTAAGCCATGTTAACTTGAGTTACCACGGCAGTTATTGTTGAGGAATGGACAAACCCCGAAAAAACTAGGAAAAGAAAGCCAAAAAAAATTTGAAAGTTAAGAAAATGTTGACGGAACGACAGTAGAAATGTTTGTAGGCTATACTCAGGAAGCGATATATTTTTTTGTACAATAAGGTCACGCCTGCAGACCGTGAGACGACAATCTTAAATCACCTGAGCACTGCAAGGAGTTGTTATGGTAACAGACTACTTTTTTTAATGTGACTTTCTGACAAATGCTCAGTTTGTAACCTGTATTTTGTATTTAGAAGGTGAAAACTGCAATCTAACCATAATAGATGCATTGTTCCAGCCCAATGCTAACCATGCAAGAATACATGAAGATAAGGGAAAAAATCCAGAGAATTCAGAACAAGTCCAATATCAAACTTTTGGACCAGCAAGAATGTGCAAATTTTAGCCAATTTCTGTCGCCCAAACCAAGGTTTTGGTCAGCACAAGTCGTTCAGTCAAAAAATGCTCGTGTCCAGCAGAGCGTTCACACATGAAAGCATGATACAGGGTAAACCCTAGCTGGATTAACTTTTTAAAAAAGCTGTGAGGATACATTACCAAGCGTATGTAATTTATCTAGATTCTGTTTGAGATATATCTACAGTAAAATGTGATTACCGGCTATGGTACAAGGCAAGGTTATCCAGTTACGCTTTGCTAACAAACTATGTTATATATATATATGTACAAGTCAACCAGATGACAAATTACTGTTCCAGACCCAATTTTCAATGATTTTCTTTCCATATTGTTTTATTCAACTTCAAACAACATAGAACAATGGTTTATCTCCAAACATATTGCTAACTCAACTTCTGGACAGAATTTCTCAGTTCCCTAGCTACACCAATTCGATGTCACTTTCTTGTGTCCCCAGGAAGTCCCAACCAGCTACCAATACACAGCCAAGACACAACCAAGTTTATATAGAGCTGGGTTCAGTTTGCATAAAAGCTGGTAGGACATGGATGAGAAAGTAGGGTAAGTAAGGTTACCAGAAAGTTGTGTATTTTCATCTAAGGCCTCACATATATACAGAGTGAGGAATACACAAAAAATAAAGCATTTCATTTCTGTTTTGAATTATTCATACTTGTCAAACAGGAAAAAAGGATGAAAATTGACAAGATCCGGGAGAGATAATTTATGTATATTGCACATGGTATTGGAGATTAAGTAATATTAAAAAGTAAATTGTAATTATGATCAGTCATGTGTGATGAAGATATATAGCTGACTGACCAGACGTAATAACAAGGTAACCAATGAACAGTGCAGCCAAACATTTAACAACTTTTATCAACCAGGAGAATTTAAGATATATATAAAACTAGTCAAAACTGACCTCACCACACCTTGCACCGTACAAAGTTTTGTTGCAAGTATTATTGAAGACTGAAAGTAGCTAAGCTGTGTGGACTAATTTGTGATGGATTTTTTTTCGGGGAATTTCAATTCCATGGGGACATGCATGCTCTTTAAGCAAATTACAACAGAACAGTATATGTATATTGAAATACTTGCCTTGCAATCCGCGTCTTCTGGTTGTTTCTCTCAAGTCGTAAAACGGCGGACTTCTGCGGGGCTCTGTTACAGTTGGGCTTAAATTTGGACTTAGATTGATTATTGGAGGACTTAGTGTGCTGAAAAACCCTCCTGCTCTGTCGGGATTGGAGTTGGCTTGTCTTGCAATTTGCCCAAAGTCTGTTACAAAGGCAGCGCCATTGCGACCAATGAAGTTCTCAGTATTGGTCACCAAGGCTGTGGGGGAGATTTGGCCAGTCACGTGACAACCGGGAGATTTTGGTAGCAGGTGGTGATAATGTTGGTATATCTGTGCATCTTTCTGGGTGGCGGCTACTGGCATTCTATGGTAGTGTCCAACTTGTATCTTATAGGTTCCTTTTCCGTGCACATCTTCAAGATACGAAAGAAAAAAAATATGAAATAAACATTGATATATATATTTATCACATAATGTACTGTGTTATCTAGTGAATATACCTATGTCATATTTTTTGGCATATTAACCCATGTAATATGACCTATCAGCCCTGTGAGTGGTTGTAAGTTTCAATAATGACGTCACACCTAGGACAAATACATGACGTCACAGACTTACACACTGGAGTCAAAACGGCGTGCTTTTTTTACGTTTCAAGGTTTCATGAAAATTGTCATTTGACACGGATAAATACAACAAATCTTGAGTATGTGATTAAAAGGATCTTACACTCATATGTATTTCATATGAAAATTGAAAAATTCTTAAACTCCTTTCATATATGAAATAGAAATGTATGAAATAGAAACTCATGTAAGATCCTATATTATGTATAATTTATACAAAAACCTGATGTGACCTAAATGACTTAACAAATAAACACATTTTATAGTAAAAATTAAGCAGATCTATCTTTGTTTTAAATTGTTATCATGTAGATTGAACTTATTCTTTTTGTTTTATCCCAAGCTCAAACAGTTTATGCTGAATTGAAATTGATAAATTTATGTGCAAGAATTTGTATAAGGGATATATAAATGAGGCAGGAATATACAATACCAGTGACGTTAATACTACACTTAATATGTCTCTGACAATACGTAAATATTTGCCACACATTAGGTTCACCATTTACTGAACAGTTTCCTTAAGATCAGAGTGTAACCCCATAGTCAGTGGTAATAAAACAAATAATGGCAAGCTATGATAAACTTTAATGAAGAAACAATAAACAAACTTTTATTGTTTTAAAAGCTTTGACATGAGAAGTGTATGACAGGGTGGGGTGCTTTTTAATTTGCTTTTGTTTAGAAAATCTATGCTTATTTCTTTCTTAAACCTGGTGACTAAAACTAAGAGCTGGATATATATCAGAAATTCCTGCAATAAACGGAATTCGACTCACGTTATTGGGGGAGACTACACTTGTATGAAGCTTTATCGATTTTTCGGAATGTGAATAGCACATGTATTGTTTGACAGTAAAACAAATAGAAAATAGGATAATCTTCACTATGTAGCAGTATAACACATCGTACAGCACGTGTTTTCAGACTATGTACACTTCGCTGTAGATTTTAGGTACAAACCTAGTCACGAGGCAACATATACCAGGCGGGGTTGTGCCGAATAAATAGACTACTACAGCAAGCTAACGCTAGCCCGATTGATCCATACACAGTACAGCAGTACGTATGCAGACAACATAAAAATACCTGACCGATTTCTTCACCCAAAAATGGTATGCTAAAAGTGTGCAGCAATGTTAGAACAGCTATATTCGAAACAATGTCCATTCACAATCGCTAATTTAAACGAAGCACATTCTTAATAATGACTGTTATAGCTGCGTAACATATTGGCTTAGTTGGGTTGGTCGTATCTTGTTGTAGGCAATCAACATGGGATCACACGGAATGGTTGCGTTGCTCCGCCAGTTTTGGAGAACGTTTACTGTACATATACTCACCCAAAATCAAGTATATCGATTAAAAGTTGCAGATAAATCCTTTAAACATAGGAACGTGCTGGTTCGTGGTGAACAAAAGTACGAATGACACAGTTTGCAACAATTTCTGAGTGTATTCTGAACCGATAATCAAATCAAGGATTCCCCGCCTACGTTGTGACGTCATATCCGAAAGGAAATACCTCCCTTTAACGGAATATAACGAAGATATCCGACTTTTGTCGTATGCTAATTTTATTTCTAACCTGCAATGATATATATCAAAAATTAATATAAGCTATCTACTGAATATGTAAATGCTATTAAAAGGAAGAAATGGAAACGATTTATATTTTAAAATCATTTTATTACCTTTTCTCTTTCAAAAACAAATGAAGTCATGATGGCATAGTCTAAAAATAGAATGTAAGCTGCATTCGCACCATTGGCTAAACGTCCCAACGTGACAGGTGCTCGCAGATTTCATTGGTCAACATCACGACCTTGAGTTGTTGTCATTGACAGGAGCTATGTAGCGAGCAGGAAGAGAAGCAGGAGTAGAAGAGAGGAAGGTTTGGAAAGTTGAAATTTATCAAATTTGAGGAGAATTCGGTCGTTTTGATACTGCAGAAAGTACAATTCATAATCAACGAATCTACTTATTACAAGGACGGCTTTGGCATTTCATATTTGAACGCTTAAAAGACCGCTGAGTTGGATTGAAGTTGGCAGAACATCGGGCGCCATCTTGAACATTGTTTGTAAACAACATCCTCGAGAACACCTTTAGAAGAAGACTTCGTTCTCTTGGTACTTTGTCTCATTCCTTGTAACAAGGAACATATATTTTCGTGGTTCTTGGTGGATATGACTTATCCACAGATCTCAAACGCGAGTAAGATGAAAAAATCTTCGGAGTATCATGCCAAACAAAGGCGTTTCGCGGGAGGACGTTTTTCACCAAATCGTGGCAAAGATAAAGGCGTACCATCGCCAGTGTCTGCCATCAACGACCCTCGACCTCACCTTTCATCAAAAAATGGAAATTATATCCCGAAAGTTCAGAAGGATCAAGGACGATATGACGGGGAAAATGCTTTCACCAGAACCCCAAGTCCCGACGGACAGTCGAATGGTGTTTATGCTGGGGCAAAATTTAGTGACCCCCCCTCACCGACAGTGCTTCCAAAACCACCATCTCACTGGATGATGAGATGTTCGTTTGAAGAACCTCAAAATAACATTGATATGAGCAGTCAGTTAAAAATGATTCTGAAAGTTCAGGTGTAGTTAGGCCTTAGGGATTCCAAACTTTCGAATCTTAGAGAACATTCCAGAGCTATATTTTTGTAGCAATGTGAATCAGTATTAATTTAAATTTTTTTTTCATTGTTAAAATGTTCGTAAATTTTATATGTAAGTCTCATGTATGTCGATCTCAATCAAAGTTCTTACAGTCTGATCTTTTTTTCCCCCAATCTTTTCTCAAAACCGAAATCTTTGATCTCGCCAGGATTCTTTTTAACTTGAGTGATTCTTTAGTGCTCTTAATATATATCTAAACTAAAAGAATTATCAATAGTAACTGAGTAAGAATTTGTGTTGTTTTCTCAGAATTCTTATACTTGGCATATTTGCTACTTCCGGATAAAGTTCTCAAAGCAGTTTCCTCTTTATGTATTTTTAATGTTTGGCCATTATATTTATGTAAATATTTGATTGCGGATATATTTAATATCTATTTTGATTCTAATTCAACCATTTATATTGTAAAAATTTCAAGACATATATGCAAGAAGAATTGTATCTATGTCTTGCGTTAAAAGTTGATCATGAAATCCTTTATTTTAAACTCGATCATATGTGTACATCAATGAGAAATGAAACTTGTTTTTGAAGAACTGCGATTAAATTTTTAAGTATTATTCATAAAGAAGTATATTTTTGCGATTTTAAAGCAAACCTTATATCCTGGCTAAGACAAAGATCAAACCATTTTATGTGCTGGAAATAGAAATATAAACTTGTTCACTCAAATGTAAATAAAATTTGTAGATAAATAATTGTGTAAATTGTAGGTTTGCTGAAAGTGCAGTAGTTATGTTTGCCAAATTTATATTTTAAATGGAATTTTTACCTTCATAACTTATGTGATAAATGTTGAAATAGATGCTATGAGAAGATGCTTGTGTCTGAGCAGAGGTATAGTAAGTTAGTGACATCTACGTGCCATTATCATCAAGATCATTATTTCCCATTTCATTTATCTATTTTATTTTATCAAATGCAATAGCATTGAATTATTTTTTTGATCATGGTCATCGTAACATGCATATATTTATAAATATAGATTTTTTTTATTTGATTTTTTTCATCCCATAGCCCGTACTTCATTTTCATGTTCCATTAGTCTATTGTGCCAGTGAAACTCGGGTTCATTAAACATCATCATCATCATCATCATCATCATCATCAACCATGTTTGGATGTCAAGTGTGACTTGTTACTTGTGTGAAAGAAAGACTTTGGATCAGGATCTTCGCAATACTGTTATTAACTTTGATGTGGCAAGTACAATCTTGCATACATTTAGCAGGGACTTGACAGTGCTGATTCTGTGATGAAGTGGACAACGGCATCTACTTAATGTTAGTATCTGTGATATGAAGAAGTGATGAAAGTTCCAGAGCTTTTGAAAAATTCTAAGGAAACCTACAGTCTACAACAATTTTTGAAGTGAACAACAGACTATTTCCAACGCCAGCAGATAAAACTCAGCAAAAAGCATTCTAATAAAATACCAAATGCTTCTACTATTTCCCCATCTTTGGGCCCTTTTCAGGGCCCCCCAATTCCCTCAAAGAGTGCCTTGGCACGCTCGAAAAACGCAAAATACATATTTTTGTTTGTCTGTGTGTATGTGCTATGTGTTTGTGATTGTCTAGATATATGTTGGGTTGACGCCTTTCTGGTATGTAAGGTGGAAGGTAAACTGTGCAGAACTAAGTATTCATTTACTAATTAAATGGTTTATCAGAAAAATATTCTAAATATCGGAGATTCAAAACATAATTTTATTATAAGAATTTAATAATGAATCGCAATGATTATATTTCTAAAACACATGATAAGTAATTAATTTCAAACTACTGTTTTCAAATATTAAATTTAAAAGTATTGGTTTTAAAGCTACATACTGATTTGGACTATAATATTGAAGTTGTAAGATCGATGCTGATGGTGAATGATGAACAGACGTGCATTTCTCCGCCCGTGGCAGGTAAGTATATCACGGTAAGTACTTTAACTGCTATAGTATTATATATATATACTTTGAATCCATCATCCGGTTAAGCTGCCTGGCATTAATATATATAGAGAGTTCATTTTGAAAGGGAGAACAATTTCATAGTGTGCAGATTGTTATCGAAAAATTGTACTAGCTGGTCTAAATTTTGATGGTAAGTTTTAAAAAATTCAAAACTTCTAGGGTCATACATAGGAAGACTGGCCACCAACAATATTAAAAGTATCGTTTATAGTACAACAATTACGGAACAAGTAATATAATTTATAAGAATATTATTCTCTTGTTGACTGGTAGGGGATGTGGGGAGAGTGACCCCATACCTTTTCGGGAATCAAATCCCAGAAATATTAGTGAAATGTGAGTGTGTTATCCACTGCACCACTGACCACTGATATATGGCCATTTTAAGCCCCATCTAGTAGCCATGGTGGCAAGATATTTCATCAGGTCTTATAAAGCTGACAGCAAGCAAAATGAAATCGGTCCTTGCCAACATCCATTTGAAGCTAAATAAGCAAAAGGGCAGCAAGGCCAGCTTAAGTAATGGTACATGTACCAATGCTCTCGCAGGGAACATAACCCATAACCTTCCTCTTTGAGCAAGACTTGCTAAGCTATTGGATCGGCTTCAGCTGTAATTAAAATTGGACCAATCATTAAGCTGATCGCTGTCCTTTGCCAATTACAATGGAGCTAAAACAGTCTGGTTTTACCCAGTCTTTTATCTTCCGTCGAAGACCCGACATGAGGCTACTTGAAGTGGAACTCATGGATTTCAGTGGAGAGCAGAAAAGAAAACACCCAAGTTCTGCAGGGGTTTTCCATGTCGGCTGCCTTGCTCACGCAGAATGCAGTGGGTAAGTGCAGGTATGTATATGTATATCCCCAACATACAAGGGGATGGATAATTGTGTACATATATCGCTATGGTCCTCTAGTAAGTTTTGTCTTTCAGCTTGTTTTCTGGCACAGCTTTGGTCTGTCTTTATTAGGTCACCCGAGACAAAGTCTTGAGTGACGTATATTGCGATCGCCTTTTGTCCGTCGTGCGCCCGTTAACAATTTACATTTTCGACTTCTTCTCCAAAACCCCTGAACCAATTTTAATGAAATTTTGCAGAAACCTTCCATGGCCAAAGGTCAACAAAAACAATGGCCGATTTGGTCCCCAGCCTCCAGGGGCCAAAACGGGTCAAATTGACTAAAATTTCAAAAAACTTCCTCTCAAAACCCAGATATGGTAGAATCAAATGCTCTTCATAGCTGGAAGGGTCTTAAGGTGCTTTACCAAAATTGTGAATTTCATGACCCTGGGGTCTCACGTTTCCCCCTGGTGGGGGGGTAAACTTTACTATAGTTCATATAGGGAAATCACATTTTGGACCAACATTTGTTTAATTTCCATTGGGAGTAAATCAATTTGGGTTAGCATTATCAGCATTGGATAGCAAATTGATGGTATGCACACGTATATATGCGCCCTGACTGACCCCCCGGGGCTGATTGGTGGGACAAAAAAGGGTTGAACTGACAGAAATTTCTAAAATCTTTTTCCCAAACACCCAGATATGGTAGAATCAAACACTCTTCATAGATGGAAGGGTCTTCAGGTTTATGACCCTAGGGTCTCGTGCTTACCCCCTGGGGAAGGAGGGGGGGGGGGGGGGGGGGCAAAATTTATTATGGTTTATAATGGCAAATGATACTTTGAATATTACATGTTAATAACTTGATTGGAATTATAACCTTGAGTTGACAGTTTGATACTTTGAAAATTTTGAGCCAGCCCTACCCCCAAGGGCTGTAGGGTGGGGCCCAAAGGAGTGCTAGTTTCAAATACTTTTTAGTCTTAAATCTGTATGCTAGAAATTGAATAAGGTGGTTTTATTGTTTTTTGTCACTTTGAATAATATTTCTGCTCATGTTAAAAACCAAATCAACTCTCTGTATAAATATATCAGGTGACAGTTAAGGCCCATGGGCCTTTTGTTTTGTGTAGGTTCCCCTTGGTATGAAGTTATGCATATGTTTTCTTATGAGACTTATGATATAAATATATCTTTGATTTTGACAGTCAAGGTTTGTTAGTGCTGTTTCCCAGGAAGTACTGGAGGGGTCTTTCTCAAATTCTATATTCCACCATCCTTTATTGTTCATGGTTACTTTTGAAACTGATCAGATATACAGAATGGCCGACCCACAGCCATCTTCGATTTTCAACATTGAAGGTTTGTTAGTACTTTTTCTCAGGAAAAACTTCAGGAATCTTTCTCAAATTGATATGTTGGTTCCCCTTGATCCCTCGTTGTGCATGTTATATTTTGAGACTGATCATAAAAACAAGATGGCTAAAGGAAGAACTTGACAGATCTTTCTCATATTGCAATGATCGATTCTATTTCTTTCACATTAAGTACTGTACTAGTAAATATATGAAATGACAAACTCACTTTGAAGGTTGTCTTTTATACACAGCAGTATTAAGTTTAGATCAGAAGTTACCTCAAGGTGCATTTACTGTTAACATGACTCGATCAAACAGATTTGAGAAAAGATCGAACTGACAAAGAACTAATGAAGATGGTACAATGGTGGGCACCAAGATCCCTCTAGGATCTCTTATATGACTAGGTCCTTGGGTCATACATTTGAAACAGCTGAGATGCCCACCCAATAACCATATATATATATACTTGAACATAAGTCCCTGGATCATTATTTTAAATTGGACTAGATCCCTATCCTACAGCCAAAGATGAAAACGAGTATGCTACCAGAAAAAGCTTTGGAGGTCAGTCCCCACCCCTAAGGGATATAACATGGGCACACTAGATCCCAAACATTTGACAATATATAAAATTGCTAGCATGAACATATGCATACACATTAAGAGGTCCATGTATTCATTTAATGAGAACATTTTACCATGATCGCTTGAATATCTTAGTGCTCAGCCTGGTATATGAACTGGTATTGTCCAGCTTATTCAGTATTTTCTGGTTTAAGTTTAAAAGATATGTTTTATATGTGAATGTTACTATACACATTTCATATTTTCCCAAACAAATCTCGATTCCTCTTCTTGAAAATTTCAGGAGTTACAGCAATGCTCACTTGCTTTCTCTGCACCCCAGGAAAACATGACAATATCACTGTACATGCCACCCTTTGGATGATCTTTTGATGTACATCAGAAGAATGGTGCTGCAGCTTAATGGTAAAATTGACCTGCTTTAAAGTTCAGTGTCGCTCCACTGTAATCTTTCAAAGGACATGGTTCAGGCATCTTCTGAGCAATTGGTCAGTTTTAAATTCTGAAACCAATCAAATAGCTAACCATGTGCCTTCACTTTTGTCATGACATATTCTAGATGTGCTGAAAACAAATTTTGAGGACAGTCATAGCTGTGCTTAAAAACAACAAAAATTCATTTGTTATGTGAAAGAGACTTTATGAAGGATATGATTCAGTAGAGAGTATATCCGAGGTTATATACATTAATGCATCCTACTTGTTCTTATGCTTCTGAAATAAAAACAATTGGTACCATATACCCATCACTTTTTCTGGCAGAGTCTTGATGTGTTGAAACTGTAATCACAGAAAATACTAGGTTTATATTTTCAACTTACACCAGTAGGTGCTTGTTAGATAGAACACCTCGTTCTCCACCTTGTTGGTGCTATGTAAAACATATGACGCTTTCCATTGTTGGCAGTTATAGAATGTCCGCCTTTCAGTGAAAACACATGATTTCAAGATGATTAATCCTTTTAAAACCAAATACAATTGAACTGTGTCCAAAGGGGAGGGGGAATTAGACAATTGGTGTTGGAGTCGGACACTGTGGCTAGAAATAGAGTGAAATTTTGGGGAAACGGTTTGTCAAGATGCCGTCACTGGACATGAAAAATTAAATTTCCTGTAGAAGGGGACTATATGAAACTTTAATGAATGTTGTAGTATATGCATTTTAGGAATAGGAACAAATGTTCATTTAATAACACTAAAATTGTCATTTTCTCCCCAAACCAGGAGTTTATTTAGGGAAAAAATGTATATAGGTATATATATATGTCCAGGGAAATATGTTTACGGGTACATTTAATTAAATTGAACCAAATTATTATCGCTGTTTAGAAAACTATTTGCACATGATTTTGATAATCGCCATACAAAAATCTTTAAAAAAAATAAATTACTCTGCAATGTTTCGATATAATGGTTTAACTGGGAATTGCAGACATTCTGGTAAATTTTCAAACAATGTTTACCATTCCAGATTTCATCAAAAAGTGAACATTCCGGGTGTCATCAAATTTGAACTTTTCAGCTGTCAACAAAGTTGAACCTTCCAGCTGTCAACAAAGATGAGGAAAAATCTACCTGTCATGAATTGAGAACATTCCTGATGTCATCAAAGGTGGACATTTTAACTACCAACGAGGGAGAACATTGAAAGTGTCATGGAGTTGAAACTTCTAGTTGTCAATGATTAAATGCGAACTTTCGAAGAATCATCAAGGGCGAGAAATCAAGCTGTATCAAGGTGAACATCCAGCTGTTATCAAAGTGAACATTCCAAATGTCAACATGATAATGTCAATAATGCAGAACATTCAAAAGTGATAATTTCTAATGACATCAAAAGTGAACATTCAAACAGAAAACATCTGAGGTGTCAGATATATAAGTTAAACATTGCAGGTTTCGTCACAATTGACGAGTGTATCTCTACAATGATGTTATCAAAGTACTATGAAAGCTTTTATCAAAAGTGAACATTCGAGGTCAATCCAGCAATCTTGAGATCATCAGTGACAATACTAAAGAACAGTAGAACTTGTAACTTAATGTCATCAATACCGAACAATTTATGCATACGATTATTATGCGACACCATTTTGTTTTTAAAGCATTTAGACATTACTTTAGATGTGATGATGCTATGATGGACATTTAAGGAATATAATATCAGTTAAAAGGATACTAGAATTATATATTTTTGACATTGGAGACATTATCGAAAACAATTCAAAATTTTCTGAAGATTTTTAAGACCAAGACAAAAGTTGGAAAGTTATTCTTCCAATGTTATAAAAGAAATAATGACCAAAGCAAAGTATTATGGGGTAATCCATAGTTTCCCATCAGTCAGACAAAAACATGGGAAAGATGTTGCTTGTATCCACTCCTACCTACCTGTGACCAAATTTGGGTCAGAACACAGATAAACTACATGTACCCATTAAGATGTGAAAGATATTTGATATTCCAGATTGAAAGAATATCTTTTACAGTGATTGAATTTAATTGATTAATAAAAGCAATTTCTCCATACTATTGTCTTTTTTCTGTTATAAATTATGCCATTTGCAACTTAAGTTCTTGATGAATCATCAATGCACATGTCAAGTTTGGTTGGTGTAGCAGTTTCAGAGAAACAAATTTGAATGCAAAAAATTCATGTTGAATGAGATGCTGACACAGACAATGGACCATGAAAGGTAGGCCGCATCCAGCATTTGATGCATGGGTTGAGATGTACTACCTAAGATGCATCTTTAGTCCAAGTTTGGTTGGTCTAGCACTTATGCTTTCAGTGAAACTAATTTAAACAGGAGGCCCAATGGGCCTGAATCGCTCACCTGGTATTTATCTTACTTTTAATCTTAAAAGTGGCTTAAAATACAGCTACAGGCAAAATACCAGTATTTTGATTCAAAAGAATCTATTAAAACATGCGACACATGTGACCTTGAAAGTCGAACAAAGTCATTCATTTGAACAAACTTGGTAGCCATTCGTCACAGCATGTTGCTGGCCAAATATAAACACCCCAGGCATCTTGGTTATTCAGAAGTTGTTAAAAAAATTTAAACATATTTGACCCCTGTGACCTTGAATGGTCAAGGCCATTCATTTGAACAAACTTGGTGGCCCTTTATCCCAGCATGTAACTGGCCAAATATCATCACCCTAGGCCTCTTGGTTATTCAGAAGTCGTTAAAAGATTTTAACATATTTGACCCCTGTGACCATGAAAACGGATGAAGGTCATTCATTTCAACAAACCTGAAGGCCCTTTATCCCAGTATGTTACTTGTCAAATATCATCATCCTAGGCCTCTTGGTTATTCAGGTGAGCTAACAAAAACTTAATGTTGATGGAGATGCTGACAAGGACAATGGACCATGTAAGGTTGATGTTGCCGGAAAAGCAACACCTAAGTCTCGCTACCACTACTTCGTAACGGCGTGACAAAAGTGCCCTTTATTCCCACATTATGTTCATGGAGTCCCTTGCCTCAGGGATGTTCAAGAACAAACTGATTAAAAAACTGTTCTCAACAAGTGTGAAAACTAACCCTCCTTTGGTTGTTTTTCACACCAAACTGATATCATGTAGTAGTATTGTAATTGCAGACGAAATTGAAATGTACTGGCACTTTTAAAAATATATTTATATTGTGTTTTCATGCACAAAACAAAATGCTTAATAAATACAGTTAATTGTTTGTCTTTTAAAAATATTATGAATAGAAAGGTTTTTTGGGGTTTTTTTTGCAATGAGATTTATAAGAAGAATTATCCTCAATTTACATTAGAAGTGCCAGTGTCATCCCATTACATGCGACAAAGAAAAATAAAAACGAAAATTTGACAGCAGCAAATGATTCATATGTTTATTTTACAATGTTCAAGTTCCAGTTCTTTAAAAAATATATAAAACATTACATCAAGAAATTTGTTTGACAATTTAAAAGCTAACTTTAAAAACTTTTTAATTAGTAGATGCCACCTTGCCACTAGCATCCTTGTTTTAGTGACATATAATTCCATGACTTGCTAATAAACAAATTGAACTCTTTTTAAGATTTTGAATCTTGAGAATAAAACTAGAACATAAGATTCCACCAATATTTATATTGAGGTCCATCATTATATCATTTGCGAAGCAAGCATGATTATATCCCTCACATGTCCTGCCCAGAGTGACAGATAGAAGAGAAGATAAGACGCAATATAGACACGCATACACAGACACTCGCTCACCGCACTCGCCAAAGGAAAGGCAGGAAATGGAGGGATATTCACAAAATACAATTACCCTATGTGACACAGAATATCTCAACCCTATCATATAATTTTTGACGGCTAAGGTGTCGGTTGTTTTAATCACTCCGGGGATTCACAAAGATGGAGTTGCTCTCTGTTGCTTATCATGGAGACAATGGAGCATTGTCTCCATCTATCAGAGATTTTAATTAATTGCCAATCATTACTTATTATGAAAGTATGAAAATGATTTAATTGTGAAAGGAAATATACATTTTTCCATTTGATTTTGAAGGAAAGACAATCTACACATTCGAGTCAAAATGACATTGTCTCCTATCGAGGATAATTTAGTGTTCATAGCTAAAAAAAATATGCTCAGCAAATATGGCAGAATAGTGATGTGAAAGCTGTTGCAAAAGTCTAAAAAATCCCTTGGAAGTGGATGCTAAATTATTCATAAGAAGCCAATAGATTTTCAAATAAAGCATATAAGTTGTTATTACAGATACACACTGGATACCAATACATCCGTTCTGTTGGCTGGTTAACTAATGGATGTTGTATGTTAATTGCACAATGATCAATGGCCTTGATTGCCTATATGTGAGCATAGCAAGTCTCCCATCATCAATACGAATGTGAGCATAGCAAGTCTCCCATCGTCAATACGAATGTGAGCATAGCAAGTCTCCCATCGTCAATACGTAGATACATATTTTGTGCCTACTCTTTTATCTTTTAAAGGTTATTTTTGTGCACCTTTTTGAAAAATCTTCTGCAAAGAAAAACATTTGCTCATATGGAAGGTGACATTGGTGATCTAGATACAGTATCTGACCTAACTAGTGTCCATATACCCCCNTCAAATTTTAAACTAAAACAACAAACTTCAATAACTAAAGCAGCTATGTCACAAAACTAACAAAGAACCAAAAAGTAGAAAATCCAATTGGTATATATAGCAATGAATGACCTGTTTGAATAGGTTTGGTTTGGTTTGGTTGTGTTTTATTTGCTATTAACAGCTATGGTCATTTAAGGACGTGCCTGGTTTAGGTGGTAAAACCACCAACCTACGGCCAGTACATGGCAACCTCCCCAGGTAGGTCTCGAACCCGTGACCCAATGGTGGAGGGCTAGTGGTACATGTAGCAGAATGTCAGACGCCTTAACCACTCGGCCACCGTGGCCCCTTGATATGTTTGAATATGTATTCAATAATATTTCAGTAATATTTCTTGCCCTGAACACTAGATAGGTGGAATGCGGTAGCTATTGGTTTTTACATCACACATACTACTATATACAGACTAATCATAAATTTGGTTACTGAAGACAGTGGTTGGTCACTACAGATATTACATATGTACATTTAATAATTGATCGTCATGATGTACTCCAATGATAATACAGTACTAGTATAAAATGTTATTCTATTTGTACAAATACAAAATACTAAATTATACATATATGTAAGATTAGATTTTAACATGTAACAGGATATTTCATCAATTGCCAGTATAAGTGAATAACTACGAGATTAAGGTATTTCACTAAATAGAATATTTAGCAAAGTGCAGTTAACATGAACAATAAATGAACAACCTTTCTATCAATGATCATGATCAATAAAATTCTAAAACAAATGCACATTTTATTCCCTAGTTAAATCAACTTCAGCAGAAAATTTGTATTGCACTTTATTACTTCAAACATGCATAATTTTTCAATCCATCCGATATTGATATTTTTTTTATCAACAATGAATTTTCACTTGTCAATCTTGATCTAGTTAGAAACAGATTTTGTCCGCCCCTCCATCAATAACAACATTAAGAGACCCTTTTCATGTTAATAATATTTAAATACACTTTATGATATAAAATTATGTTTTGAATACATTTTCAAGATTATTTATGATATAGTAGAATTTAGTTTATACACACATTTTGGTTTTCAAATTACAGTTACACGGTTAAAATGAAAGTCTTTTTGAATGTTTTCAAGAATATTTATGAGGAAAATAAAGGTTATGATACTGTTTATTACAGATCAAAAAAATCATGAAAGATTAATTCAACTGATTATGAAAACATCAGCCTTTAAAAGTTCCCTTTGTGTGCCAAGAAGCCATCACTGCACCCTATCACTTCAAACATAACTAACGCGAGGTCACTAAGAAAAAAGTGTGCCTTGTAAAACAGCAAGATCTGGCACAATATGTACAATGTCACAGTTTTAGTTCATATGCTACCAAGAAAGACGAGCCTCCAAAATCATCAATCCGATTCTTAATTTATAAACTAAACTCTTGATATTACAACTGGGATTTACTTGAGTCCGAGTCAATTCCTCAGACTTCAAACTCAATTTCCCACATTGAATAGACCACACTGGACACAGACCTGGCCGAACACGAAAGCTGATGACTAGACAGATTATAGAAAATCTTAAAAAAATCCTAAAAAAGGATATTTCAACGTTTTAACAGATGTTTGATTTGTACACAAAACGGACACACATATCAATATACATATATACAACTCACTTTGTACACAAGCTAGATACACATAGCAGAAATACAGCAGTGTTCTATATCGGCATTTTAAAATCAAACACAAGACCTACTAATCATTGAAGGAGTTGACACAGTGTTAAGATAGGTAAGCTATTCACAAGCATTGCGTTGAAATAAATAAAATACTTATATATAAAATAGAAGCCATGAAGTCTAGTGACACATTGTCACAACTCTGGTAGAAATGGCTGGACAACACCAACAGATGGTGAATCAGCACTATCTATTATAGTCTACATGGTTTGGCACACTAGCTATGCTAATATCATAAACATGGCACATAGTTCTGAAGAAGTGTGCCGTAACATGTAAACTATAATAAATAGTGCTGCCTCACCTTCCGAGGGATGTTGTCCAGCCATTTCTGACTGAGTAATCATTACTTTTTATGCTGGACTCGTGTATTCCCTTAAGAATCCGTCCACAGAAGACCACCATAACATTTGTATGATTTTGGATACGGATGCTGAATCTTGTTTGCTAATATTATCAATGTTAACATCACATGCCAGTTCTGCTCCTGTAAAATTTTATTTAGTTGGTAATATCCGTGGTTCACAAACATTTTTTTGTCTGCTTTGAGATTCACAAGAATTTTCTTTTTACCCAAGATATAAAAAAATCACAAAAGTAATCAAATAAACAAAAGTTAATTGTAAAAAAGATTTTCGGGTATTTGCTATGTGGCAAAAATGAAACCTTTATTGTCAGTTTTAAAATAAAATATAAAATGTGTTCCACCCATTTATAGATCGGACATGACATTGTATATAATAATAATAATGATAATTTGAGGTTCTTATATACTGCTTTTTCACAATCTAGTTCGTAGGTCGTCTCAAAGCGGTTCACAAATTATTATCCATGGTTATAGGGCCTTTGCAACCAGCCAATATCTTTCTCAACTCCCTTGGGAGCATACAGCCGGTGCTAACAGCTATCATTCAACAATTCGAGCACTTCCCAACCACATACTCATTTACAGCCGAGAAGACTGGAACAAGCGGAGTAAAGTATCTTGCTCAAAGATACAACACAGTGCCGTACCATGACGCGAACCTGCAACCCTTCGGTCATTAGCCCGGCGTCCTACAACTTGACTACCGTGCTTCCTAAAGCTAATAGCTTATATAGCTATTAATATTCGTAAGGTTTAGGATTTTTACTCATTAAATGGATTTTATAATATGATACAAGGAAATCAGTAAACATGGCTACTCAATATCAGCCAAAATATTTGTCGTATGATTTCTTATCGGTACAGTCAAACTTCAATGTTTTGAACTTGAGTCACGAATGTCGAACTTGAGATGCTGTATAAACTGTAAAAGTCTGAATAATCATTAGTATTATTATCATAAGGCGGAAATTCAGACTTTGCCGAAATTTCGACACATCAAGAAATTGGAATCTTTTAAGTTAATTTATGGAAGTTTGACTTATATATGAACTTTATGTTGTGAATTTATTTTATAAATAAACCTCATACAATATATGAAATTATTGTGAAATTAACAAAGATTTGCACTACATGGAAATTTTCAGAAATGGAAACAATTTTTTTTATCAGGATTCCTGAATTCAGTATTTCATGTCAAGTGAATTGGGTTAATTTTTGTTTTAAAAACTGAAATGTTTGGACAAACAAGCATTCAGTGTATTTATATTGCCACAGTGGACTTACAGAACACAAGCTCATTACCAGATTAACTGTTAAGAAGTATAACACTTATATAATATAAAATAATAGAATGAATGGACTATGGTTTATACCAATACATCACACAATAGATTTCACTGTCCTGACATGGTAAACATGAGCGTTCAGTCTTTTCTCAGTAAAAGCTATACACAAGAAGCCGTAAAATATTTTCCGTAGCTGTTTACAACTTCTCTGTCCAGTATTGTGGGCGAGAAATGTGACAAGCTGTTTGTAGCATTCCAAGTTTATGCCAGCACCGTTTCTTATAATCAATCTGTTAATGTTACAATGTACACGTTGTGTTATCGGTCACTAACACACCTTCTTCCCAGGACTTGGTAAAATACTACTGCGACAATATGGCCGAGATTTGATCTCTCTCTGTAAAATAAAAAAAAGCAAATAGCATTTAGTACATGTGTATCATATCTGATCAGGTACACGAAGTTTCCATGAGGTAACATTTAAGGTTCAACAAGCCCCCGGGCCGGTATGCCACTCTCCACAGCTAGCGAAGGATAAATTAAGCTCCCCATGGCCATGACCTAGGTGTTCCGTCTTTGCGTATTGCAGAGTTATCTTCTCTTTTGAGCAGGTATTGATTGTTAAGTCATTAGTTTGTGAGAGTAATGTCATCAATTTAAGAGAAAAGCACGTAATTTTCTCACACAAACCAATGACGTAACAATCAATACCTACTCACAAGAGAAGATAACTCTGCAATACGCAAAGACGGAATATAAATGAACTTTAATTTCGATAATATGTCATTTCAAAGTATTCATTCGAAATACAAAAGAGATTGACATGTTATAACTGGTGAACTATTTTTATGAAGACATCAGCCTTAATGCCGTATTATTGACTACGTTAACCTCGCCAACAACCATTTTACATGTAATAGCTATGTACAAGTTCAATATATGCAAAACACATCTACAATTTTGATTTTTTAATTGGTGTTTTTGAATATGACATATCAGGGTGTTGAAATCTTGGGTGACTATGTGTCTTTTAGGGGGCGTGTTGAACCTCAACAAGATTAACACAGGCCACAATATGTACAGTGTATTCTGTACCTACTCAATCTGTTCTAGTAGTTCCTATGTAAGTTTCTTTGTAGAGGCCATAACCTACTCCAATATCAATCTCTACAGAGATGTCTAACATGTACATTGAGACACAAGACCTACAGTTATCAATTATAAAAGTAATATGTATAGAAATAACTGACACAATCCGACAGAAGTCTCAAACCAAGCATTCTGTAATGTACATTTTTCTAACTATAAACTTATCAATCTGGCAGTGGCTCATTTTGGTAGAAGAGAAGGTTAAAATGAATGAGTATGACTAGCAGGCTACATAATGCATATTTCTACGTGTAGTGATCTATTTATAGAATGAGCATCAATCAAATTAACATACTGAGGACATAACTATATATCAGGAAACTTTTGCCCTGTCAAATATTCCGCCTTCACTGGTAAAATCTATGTTTGTCCAGTGTAAATTTCACCTTTCACTGGTAAATCTATAAATTTTGCCCTTCAATGGTAAAATCTATATTTGCCCAGTGTAAATTTTGCCCATCACTGGTAAAATCTATATTCCCCCGGTGTAAATTTTGCCCTTCAATGGTAAAATCTATATTCGTCCGGTATAAATTTCAATCTTCACTGGTAAAATCTATATTCGCCCGGTGTAAAATTCACCCTTCACTGGTAAATCTATATTCGCCCAGTGTAAATTTTGTCCTTCCCTGGAAAAATCTATATTCGCCCGGTGTAAATTTCACCCTTCACTGGTAAATCTATATTCGCCCAGTGTAAATTTTGCCCTTCACTGGTAAAATCTATATTTGCCCTGTGTAAATTTTACCCTTTACTGGTAAATCTATATGCCCCCAGTGTAAATTTTGTCCTTTATATATAGGGTAGATTGTGTACTAGTAGTATTTGCTGTTATGATGACTTTGTCCTTATTGCGGGGGGAGAAAAGGGCAAAAATGAAACAGAAGCAAAAATGTCCTGGTATACAGTATTTATGGATTCCCTAGATATATAAGTCTGATTACACTGTCAGGAGGCCTGTTAAAAGTATGAATTTTCCGTGACAAAATCCTGTTAAAAGCAGTTTGAGGTTGTATGAGAGTGGGTATCAATAAACCTACTGATTTCAGAAAGTACCATCACCTTTGTTAGATCTTCAGGTTACAAGTCTTTTTTTTAACTTGATGAAGAGTTTTGTTATTATTATAGTATGCAAAGACGAACTCATCTTCGAAACTGCAGGAGTAATGCTCACTTACGCTCTCTGCACTCCTGGAATATGCCGTAGTAAAATCAAAGGTTCAGTGAGCACCTGAGACCAATCAAATAGCTAGTTTTGTACCTTCAACTTTGCTATGACATATTCCAGGGGTGCTGAGAGCAAAAGTGAGCGTTTCTCCTGGTGTGTCGAGGATGAGCCGAACTTTAAGAAGGCAATTAGGAGTGTTGACTGGCAGAGCTCTCCTTGGAATGATGAAGATATGACAGGAGGCTTGTGATATTAGTACACAGATGAGATATAAAATAAATGGTACAAACTTCAAATTCCTTGTAGTCCCCAGTTGACACGACGGATAGCTCTCCTGTATTTGTGAGGGGCTGGAAGCAGCTGCTTACCGTCGTGTGACTAAACATGGTTTCGTTGGTCACTGCATGGTTGTCCTGTGTGTTCTTTTCCGACAGCACTTTACGGGCGATGCGATTGGACCGTCGCCGGGCTATTTTACCCGACTTTATACCAGCAGGGGTCTACAAAAGGTTAAACAAATTGCTCTTGTTAAATAATTGCAATCAAACTCTTCTTTTATTTCTAGCTTGGTGGATTCTCAAGTGTACAAGATAGTCCCCCATTGAGTACCATTTGTAATCACATGTGTGGCAAAATGTAAAATAGACGAGGGCACCAGCACAGGTGAAAACAATTCTGCAGTATTCTGCCACATAAGTGAATCTAATTAATGATATTCAAAGAAAATCCATGAGATTTTCTGTTTATATATAACATTTTCAGAGCCATGATGAAAAAAAATGACCATGTAATAAACAGCAGGAGCGCCTCAGAATGTCCAAACATCGTCACTTTGTGGGACAGTCAAACATCAAACAAGCACATTTCTAGCTTTCTGATTTGTTTATATATCCATTGGTCTTGTATTATTTAGTTTCTTTGCTTAGAATCTACAAAGTTGTTCTTTTTCAACATTTTGATATTTCTCACTGGAGTGGGGAAAAATCTGAATAAAATCCTATATTTCTACTGTCTAATAATTAACTACCTTTAAATTTACATGGTGGAGAAATAATAAAAATGAGCTGACCATTTATAAACACATAGAGTATTTCAAATCTTAATAGAATCTCTATTTTACTAGTTTTATTAAGTAAGCTGGCATTCGAAGACTGCAAGTGATTACCATGACCTCTCACTGATGATTCAACGTAAACTTCATTAATTTTATAACAATTACGTTACAAGTCTTTACAACTTATACATAATCTCTCTTGTTTTTCTGATAGGGTGACAGGAGTCTCAATGTGGAGGAAAAAAGAAAACCCATGTATTCCAATCGGGGAGATGAACCCCGGATGTCCTTGTGAATGGTGTGTTCTCGATCTGCATCTATGCCACCGGACCAACATAAATGACCCGATGATCTGAGTAAAATTTATTCGGCATGATAAAACAGAAGCAAATAGATTTCTTTTGATTTCTTATACATATATAACTCACCAATTTACTTGTAGATGCAGGGGGTTTACGATAAGGGGAGGCGAACACACTGCTATGCTGTATACGGCTACATGAAGCGATTCTGCTACAGGATCCTGGCGTACGGGTGGTATCATTTCCCTGTAGAAAATAAAGCTTCAACTAAATCTGTGTCCATGTACGGGTCTTACTGAAGGTATTTCTGGTAATGAAAGTTCTTAATGCTGTCCAACCATAACAACTAAATATGACTGATATTAAACTGATACTGTATACAGAGAAACTTCCCCTCAGTCAAATATTCATCATTTACCAGTAAAATCAATATTGCCCAGTGGCAAAGTCGCCTTTAATATTAGTAATGACAATGCAGAGGGCAATAATGGTGAAAATCAAACTTCAAAATTTCATGGTATACAGTAAAACCAAGTACATGAGATTGCAATGAAAACACTTTTAACATAATGGCTGATATATCAATTCAATAGAATATATATTCACGTTTTGTACACAGGAAGCAAAATGAAAGCACATGCAGTAAAAAGTCTGCAGAATACGCCATTATAATTCAAAGAACATTAGAAATAAACATAACAGACCAGACTTTTTCAACTACATGTAATAATACTTAAAAGAGTAAACCCCACAAAATCTGTTAATGACACTGTTTCACTTTCATTTTTTCATTTCGTGCTGTAAGTATTACACAAATTATATCTTCACATTATAAAGTATAGCAAGGGGCCAGTGAATAATTATCACTCATACATTTTACAAAAATAATAATTCTGATCTGTGAAGAAAGTCTTTTTTTTTCAATCAATTTTTAACGCAACTGCATCCTTTGGAATTAAAATTCTGGTCACTGGCATCAACTTGTGGAAATTTATTATCTTTGTTCTTTTTCTACCTAAATTTTGCAACAGCTTGATTAAGACTACATGTACATAAATTGGAAAAATAATGCATTATTTAAAATTTTGCAACAGCCTGTTTCTACATTAATTGGGGGAAAAAACGCATTATTTTTCATAATGAATGCATTCCTCATTTTTGCCCACTTCATTTCGGGAGAAATGAAACAATTTTTGCAAGGGGGAGCAGTCTGAATTCAGCGGTAAAAGTAGACAAAAAAATCACTGTGCTCCATTTCATTTTTCAAAGTGAATTCATTACTTAATAGGAAATGTTTTTACTTTTTTATTATTCTTACACACTAAGTTTCTCTCTTGATTAAAACACAGTAAAAAGGAAGACAGATCATTGAGGCCACAAAATACACTCACTTGGCCATCTGGGCCAGTCGAGCTAAAAATCAAAAAGATTTTCAATAACACAACTGCTAAGCAGCTGAAAACAAGTATGAAAGAGAAAACTTAAATCCTTGCCCATGCAGTTCAGAGCACCATAATGGCAACAAACAGTGCAGTAAGAAACAGGAAACAATAGATCTGGGGTCATGCAGGGTGGAGGCAAACTATTAGCACAAGACTTCTTATTGAGATATTTCTAGGATTTATGTATACTGTACTTATTAAGTCTACAACATCAATATTATAAACCAATTCTTTAAACTGAAACAGCTGAAATGTCTATCAAGGGGATCATTTTCTACAAAACAATAAATCTTCCAGACCAAGTTGTTTTAAAATATTGAACTTTGTATTTTCAAATCATATGGCATGTATTAAATTGTTTGAGTTCTACATATTACAATGTTACAATACGTAAATATGGTAACAGAGTCAAAAAAATAAAAAAATAAATTAACAAGGCATCACAAGTGATACAAATTCCCTTGCATTCACACATTGTGACATATATGTAAGAGAAAATGAAGTTGCAAGAGCAATGCCATTTTTGTTTCTAAAAATAGTAACAGTGACCTTGACCTTCAACATAGAAACCTGAAACACGAACTTGTTCAATGCATTGCCATACAAAACACTTGTATGAAGTTTCATGAAATTCCATTTAGGAATGAAGTCACTAGAGAGTTGACAAAGAGTTAACATAGGGTGGAATCATAGATTTCCACTCAAACTTTCGTTGCGAGGGGATAAGAGATACAGTAACAAAAAATAAAATTTTGAGTGTGAAAAATATGTCATGCATATCAACCTAATTCATATGTGGACATCATGCCTTGAAAAATTTGTAATAATTTGAAGTGTATTTTTAATATTGACTTGAAACAAAATCAAGAGCAAAGGTACAAAGACACGATTGTTTTTACGAAAAGTAGGTTATTGTGAAAATCTTGATTCTTGACCATAGATTGTGATTTGGGTTATATTCTGTGTCAGAGCATATATTACTAGGAGGAGGAGGCTGGCTGAAAGTGTTACCTTTGAGATTAGGGACATTTGAACAGACACTCCACCATCATTGAGCTGTGACACAAGACAAAACACAACACATGATCACTCACTGCACCACACACTAGTCACCTACACGTCCACGACAAAAACTCACACTAGCCAAAAATTAGTGTTCATTCTTTCAACTGTTTTACCACAAGACTTCTTTCCCAATTACAATACTATTTATTTGCATGTGGAAACCAAGGTTTCAGAACTTGCCAAATAACTTTTGTGTCTTGAAAGCTGACTGTAAAAAAGATGCAATTTTCGAAAAGTCCCCAGATTTCAGGAGTGACTACATCATCAAATGAGAAATAATATGGTTAAAAAAAAACATCTCTGGGATTAAAAAATTTGGAATTAGAATACAAATTCACATTATGTATTTGATGAAAAGACTTTTTGCTCAGAATTCTGAAGTTTATTTCTATTAAGTACATGTATAATAAATGATATAAAACTTGACACCAACATTTTAAGATGCACACAGTCACTCACCTTCCTCATCTTTGATGGTGTTTTACTGGGGGTCCCGAGGAAGCGCCGTTTAGCGGGAGTGTTAGGTTTACTGCCAAAGAATACCTCTTCCTCCATCAACTTTGCCTTGGCTTTACTCTGTGGGAATACATTAACTTGATTAATTTCTCCTGTGTCGATTGCAAATTCGCGTATAATATCCTTCGATTATTTATTTTCATTAGACCATTCAATTTCTTTATTAATATCCCAGCTTGCAAAATTAGCAGTAGTCCCGTAAACCAAGCCTTTGAGAAATACTATCAGAGACGTTTTTTTTGGCTTTACTGTTACAAGCTATAATATCCCTGAGATATTCCATGACTTAGCACAAGATAATCTGGTCTCTAAAGATCATTTAATAAATGCAAACTTTTACATATATGTATATATAAATATGTATTTCTCAGGCAAAATCTCCCAATGCATAAACTCAGAAAAGCACAAAATTCTGTTTCATCCACCTGCCATATTATTCCAAGATGTTTACAATTCCGCAACACCATGCTATAATTATTTATTATAATCTGCCTGCAGGCTAGTACCCATCCTCAATACTCCAGGGGTTACGCTCACTTAAACTCTCTGCACCCCTGGAATATGTCAAAGCAAAATTGAAGACTCAGTGTGCACCACCTGGTGGATGACACAAACAGATTAGTTAGATTCTTTGATGTACATCAAAGAATCTCAAGGTCGCGTAACTGTAAAATTTGCCGTCTTTGAAGTCAGGTGTTGTTTCATCGGTAATCTCCAAACGACAGGTATCAGCCTTGAAAAAGGGGCCTTCAATTTAGCTATGACATGGGAGGCAAAGCGTAACCCCTGGAGTATTGAGGATTGCTAACACCCTATATATATGAAATTAAACACCAATTATTTCTTACCCTGTCCTCTTTTTCTTTTATTTTTTCCTTCTGGTACCTGGTCCATCGGGACTCTATGTATTCCATGAACCGCTCGCCCTCCACCAGGAACTGCTGTCCTTGGGCCTTTTCCCAGTCGGCGATGTTCTCTTTCACCTCCTCCTCAACCTGTGCAAGGCATAACAGAATCACTACAGGAAACAGCAGTTTTTACACTCGTTCATGCCTGGTATTTCTACGACAGTTCGCACATTATGACAAACAGTATTTTTTGTCGACAATATCTAATTTAAATCAACCCTTTGGGATAATTCCTTAAATTCTGATGTTTGGGTCATATACCAAATGTATTTTCTGACTGGAAAATTTAAGTCTTCAAATTGTCAATAAAACATATTTTTAGAAGAAATCTTTCATGATCTGACAGGGCTTGGGTTAAAAAATACACTTAGTAGAAAGCACTGATGACAAATACATATTGTAATGTATTGCAATATTGAAGCGAAATATTGCTGTATCGCAATATTTATCTACAGCTTATGAATTATAATCTATGTGAATATGTACTACAACCACAAAAGATAGAACTGTTTACACGCTTACTGTTAAATACTGAAGATAAAAAATAAAATTAAAAAAAAGGTTGTTTTCCAAAATAAAATTGTAAAATGAATCCCATCACAAAATACAAAAGTACCATAGTAAAATTGTATCCCTGCAAACTAGCTCTAAACGTGACGACCATGAAATATAAAGCTGCAAAATTTAACACCCATACAGTACACATACACTTCAGCTGTATTACAACACCCTACTGACAACTATTTAAACCTTAAATCTACTTACTTTGGGCAGTTCCTTGAGGAGTTTCTTCCTTGCCTTCTCTTCCTGAAGGAGATTACCTCCCCTGTTATTGAATCTATTGGGATCACACGCTTTTCTCTGAAGCAAGATGGGCAACAAATGAACACCAATGGCGATTTCTTCAATGTCAACAACATATTCCAAATATTGAAGAAGAATATCTAGACAGTATCTTTTAAATTTATCTGAAGAGATATGTCTAGACTTGATACAGTTTGAGAAATTAAAAAAGACATGACCAGACAACATAAAATGGAGTCTCAGGTCATCTCTTCTTCTGAATTTCAGTTACTCTCATGGCTGGACTAGTGAATTCCATAAGGAATCAATCACCTTGGGTATGCAGAACTTCACTGAACCCCACTAGCGGACATAAGATCTCATTTTCCCTTTTAGTTTGAAAAACTGTTACTTGTCAAAACCAGTCACTGCCAATACCACCACCAAATATGTCTGTATTCCCACTTTTCTGGTAATTCTTTAGTCATTGTTTAAAAATGTCCGACTTTCATTTCGTGTTGCCTCATCCAATATCAAATATTTTCACACTCTATCTACAGAGTGAGACATTTTTGTTTTGATGATTCACATATCATCAAACAATCAAATAAATTCCACTTTTTTTAAAATCCAAGACACTGACATTTTTTATCATCATCATAATTACCTCAAACTCAAGCATCTGTGTGAACAGTACCTCCCAGCATGCCACGTTTTCATACAGCTGACGATGGTTGTTGTATATCTGCCGTACTCTGACCACTTCCAGATCGTGGAGCTCAAGTAGCTGCTCCGTGTAGTCATCTGTGTGAAAACAATTATAATGGGTTATAATACTACAATTTGATGGAAACACTGAAGTGTTTTGAATGATTAGCTAAAAGATGCTGTATAATCTAGATTATTTAAGGGTATCAAAACATTAATGGGTTGAGGAGAAACCACTCTAGTGCACTAGATCCTAAATTAAATATAAATCTGCTCTGTGTTACACAGTGGTAAACATGAGGGTGGGAGTGAGGTATTGTAAAACCAGACCATTATATGCTAGAGGAGAGCAATGACATTTACTATAAAAAGTGTCACTTGGCCTTTCCACTTTGAAGCCCCCATCAGACAAACATATCCACACTTCTGGTCTTAGAAAGTTTAATAAAATCTTCCCCTACCTTGAGGGTGTGCAAGAGAAATCTCCAACCCGAGGGATGATATTCTTGATGTCTTACCCCGAGGCTATGCCGTGGGTAAGAAACTTGAGAATAACATCCCGAGGGTTGGAGATTTCTCTGTCACACCCTCAAGGTAGGGGATGATTGTTTTTCTCCCATCTTTTTTCACTCACAAATCCACCGACAAGCGGTGATAGCAGGAAATATAAGCGTTGATTGTAAATATGTTTTTCCAACAAACTCGAGTTGTCTTCCATGGCCTGCTGTACTGTTGACGCGACGTCAATGCATTGATGACGTGATGTCATACTATTGTTATGCACGAGGCTATCTCCCCCTAGGGGGTAACAAGCTGATCTTTTCCGGCTTAAAAGGGAGACACACCTGTGAAGAGTGGGAGAAATATCGGTCTTACCTAAGGGTAAAGACAGGGGGATTCCCCCGTCATACAATTGCATGATGTAGTGTCAACAATAGTTAATCATGGAAGATAGCTCTGATCTGATGGAAAATATGAAAGAAATGTTTGCATTTCATGAAATAACCACTTGTATTTGAAGTGGGAGAAAAATAATCATTCCACACTTAACGAGCAAAACACAAAAATCTCAACCCTTGAGGAGAGATTTGTTAAATGTCTCGGCCGGGCAAAAGCCTCGGGCTGGACATTTAAGAATCTTTTCCCTTGGGTTGAGATTCTCTGGTCTTTCCCCCTAGGTGGGGAAAGATTATGTTAATCTCCAACATTATGGTACCTGGTCACTAGGGGATAAGGAAACATGTTTTGGTGAGAATATTGACATTTTGTCTGCCAGTTTGAAAGATTTTTACAGCTGTTGCTTTGATAAGCTTGTTTCTGCTACTAGTACTAAACTATTTTATATGAGTCACGTTAATTTTTATACATAATACTGTGAAAAAAAATCCAAATGCTTGAAGAAACTCTGCAATACTTGCCAGGCTATTATTTATAATTACACTAAGTCTTTGAAATGAAAGCTACTTTTTAACTTAGTCAATATAACATGACATATCACACTCTTCAGCAATCAGCATCACTTTTAACTTGTACAGAATGGAACTAGCATGGTATGAACCCTAGGTCAAACTTCTGCTGATGACCTGCTTCACTTTGACCTTGCCAGAGATGTCTGACCAATTTTTCAACCTTGAGCATTTCTGAGGGTTCTTCAATGATTAGAAGGAGACAAATCACCAAGATGCAAACATTTTGTCTAAAACTTAAAAATTAATTGGTGGGTAGTCTTCAGCTGATAAACAAATCTACAGATGGTCTAAGACACATGTAGAAAATTCTGGGTAATTCCCTTTCCCTCCACCAAATGGGGCAGTACTTAGAGCTCTAGAAATTGATCGACGTCATAGTAATTTCGATTTGATATATATTGCACTATCACAACCTTATCAGAGGCAAGACTGATCAGTGTGAGGAAGAGCATTTGATGTTGAGTTTTACCGCTGATCTGGAAGGGTTTGAAGGCATCACGCTGCTGCTGGCTGAAGTAACACTTATCCCACCACTCTGACAGTTCCCGCCGTGTACTGTCCACGAAACGCTGCATGTGTTCATACTTCAGCTTCTCACACCGGGCAATCTCCTCTTTTAACTGTCAAATAAAATAGAAAACTTGAGCCCTTCACATTGAGTGATCTCCTCTTTAACTGTCAAATAAAATAGAAAACTAGCCTTTCACATGGAGTGATCTCCTCTTTTATCTGTCATATAGAACAATCTTATATTGAGTACCAACCCTGTCATAGTTCTTTCATTTCACATTTTTTTTATTGAATATTACATTTTATACAAATTCAAAAGGAATTGGACAACAGGCGTAATGCCTAGACAAGCCCTCTCCTAATTCCTAGTTCTGTAAAATACTCTATGGTTTACAGCAATATTAATATTTTTTTCATTTTAGAAAGAAAGAGCACTTTCAAAATATATTAAATAGCTAAAACTGTAAAAGAAATGGTCTTTCCCCTCAGGCTATTGTGATTTTTTACTATCTCTCTAAAAGATGAATAAAATAAACACACATTCAGCATGCTTTCTGCAGGAATTATTCATACATTCTTTTCTTAATTGAAGTTTGAGTCTTTTAAGGTAGAGAGTCCCATCATTTTTCTATAGTAAACAGGCATTTAAAACCATTTTTTTCTATAAAATTTATGTTATTTCCTCTAAATCGATACAAAGACAACTACAGCTTGTTTTATTGATATAACATAGAGCATATAATGGATCTATGATCTATCCTTATAACCAAGAGTTTGGGTCCATAGTTCACATTTCCTTCCTTTATATTTATACTCTTTGTTATAGAAAGTGAGCACTGAACAAATATGGAGCAAATTGGAACTCTTCTTTTTTGGAGATACAACACTGGATCATGGCACTCACTACCTTAATTAAAACTACTGTTCATGTATTAAGAAGATGGTTTCTTTTGGTTGAGCAGTGTCTTTCAGAGTAGTGAGAACTTACAGCCTGCATGACAATGGGTTTCACCCCTTCCTTGCCCCCTGAAAAGGTAGCACGATCCTCGCTGCAAATTGCTAGCCTGTCCCACAGGACATGGATTCTATCCCACATTTTAACCGACTCCTGACGCAAGTCTTCCAGAAGCTCCTCCAGCTGTAGAAAAATCAGATTGAATACAGTTTATGGTAACATTTCTCTTAACCCTAACTTAAATTTAGAGTGTCAGAGTAAATATTTCAGACAATGAGTTAGTTTTGTTATTCTTTCATCTGTAAGGTTTCTTATAATTTATACACTGTAAAATGTTGTATTTTTAAATAGTAATACATTGTAAAAACACCAATATGTACCGGAAAAAAATGTTTTGGTTCTCTGAATGTGTGGCCATGATAACACAGTCTGCCTCCTTCTAATCGAATTCAAACTTAGTTAAATTACAATACTTAATGTTGAGACTTCACCTAAGAGACTAAGACTACATTTGATTGATCCTGGAGATCTTTAGACAAACTCTAATCTAAGGATAGGACCTTTCATTGTGAGATCTCTGTGTTTGGATAAGAACATGTTAGTGATACTTTCAGCGGAAGATTGTATGAGAACTTAATCAAAAGACAAAAAAAGAAAGAGAAAACATCTTTTATTCTAATCTATGGCAGGTAAGGGTGAAACGATACACAACAGTATTTCTTTTCGGTTCGGTTCATGATTATTTTGAGTGGTCCCACGGTACACACAGTCAGTACATGTCTGCCTGCTCGGCTGATAGTACAACACTCCCCAATATAACGTCGGTTCTGATTGGTTGGTCTCTTCAACATGTTAACTCTGAGGACTCCATTAGGTTAAAATGTTGGGCATCATTACGGTCCCCTGTCTGGGGATACATTTAGTAAACGATAACCTTACAAACTTGCTAATATGTGTACTATTTGTTTCACTGACGTGAATTAAAAAACAGGCAACACAACAAATATGACTTCCCTTCTAAAGAGGAAGCATGACATTTTTCTTGAGGTAAAGGCTTTGATATCGCCATCACTGGCTCCACAGAAAAAGACATTAGTGACGACAAAACACTGAAGTCATTACTATTATTGTAAATTTGTGCGTATAGTGTGCACTTTTTTAGGTAAATATTGTCATGTCAAAAAGGGGGTGCGCAATATACGCAGAAACAAGTCATTCTTGGGTTATTGTTCTCGAGTTTCAGGTCAGTCATATTGGATTACCGCCCTTTAAATAGTTTTGTTTGACCGGATGGCATAAAAGTAACAGTCAAATGTGTTTTCCTGACATTTTCAATTGATGTCAAAAATTTAATATCAAAAGTCCACGACTTGAAGCAATCAAAACAGTGAAGGGCAGATTCATTGCTGTCGATATGAGGCCGGTTTAGGTAGTTGAGAATGCGGGTTTCAAAACATGCTTAGCATGTTGGAACCTAGGTACAAGTACACAGCGACGAGTAGAATATGGATGATCTAGAGCTATGATTCTAAATGTTTTATAAGATTTAAACTTTTTAAACTGTAAATAAATTTTAGCTGTTCACCCACCCAGTGCTGGAGTCTTTAACACTCTACTGTGAGTTCACTTCATTAGGGAAGAAGATATTAACTTCATTATTTTTATAAAATATTGTCCATTTGAGTGAAAGAATTCATCTTTTATAAGATTGTATTTGTATTTTACAATTGTTATTATTTTTTCTTCATTTAGTTTTGTATCATTTTGAGGAAAATCACAGTGCTCACGCTGTCGGTAGCCAAAGTAGCACTTGGCTACTTTTATTTATAAGCTTCAATCAGCTTATAACACTACGTTTATAATTATATTTTTTATTTCTTAAGTATAGCATTGTATTAAGTGTTGTATCGTATCGAAACGTACCAAACCGTGAATGCTGTATCGTGATACGTATCGTATCGTGAGGTAGGCGTATCGTTTCAGCTCTAATGACATGTCGCAATTTAAACAGAAGTTGGTATTCTACCTAAGGGAAAAGTGTACGCATATTTTTAGGGAAGGATGGTGATTGGGTAAAGATAGCTATAGGTTGGTTTAATTTATAATGCATCTTTTGATTTTAATTTCACATACCTCCGTCTTCAATAATCGTAAGGATTTCAGGTTGTCTTCGGACAACTGGAATGTGTTGTCTTCTTCACATATAACATCTCTTTCAAAGTCTGACTCTGGTGTTCTGTCCATTTCTTGGAATAGCACCACAATCCCTTTTTTGATATTTACAAACTCTGTAAATCGTTTTACCTGAAGAGCAGAAGATTAAAATCCAGTACTTTAGAGAGTAATCCATGCTGACACTGGGTTTACAGCATTAGTTGACATTTATAAACCGAGAGACAAAAAATAGCATAAATTAATGCAACAGATTTCACTACTTTATCAATTATTAAACTCAAAATTTGAGGGTCCATCCCATTTTCCTGACAAGTAAATTTATGTCATGGCTAGTGAAAATTTTCAATATTTCCTAGTGGTGTTCTGATTAATCGACTAAGTCGAGCATCAGTCAGTTAGGCTAACAAACTGATCAATCGAGTACAAAATACATGATTGATTTTAGTCGGAATGCTCATGTGTAGATATTATGGAGGTTTTCAGAAGACATTTTCCCCAGCTACTACCCTGAATGTAAATTTGTTGGCATCATCACTGCATGACTTACTTTTAGCTCATGGCTGCTAGTTAGGACTATATATTACATATTCAGTGTTTGAAGAGAGGCATTTCTTATATCATAATTACATGGTATCCCTTTATTATTAGCCTAAGTGACTCACAACAACAGCATGGAGGATTTCACTATGTATTTCTATAAAACGATTATTAATCGATTATCGGTTGGTTAATGGTAAACAATGATCAATCATAAAATTTCAACCGATTCACAACACTAATATTTCCCATGAAATTACAGGTGGGGAAAGTTAAAAAATAATTTCAAAACTTACATGTAAGCTCGAACTTTAAAGTGTAACAAGGGATGAACAATTCACTTTTAGAGTACTAAAGTATCCCAAAGGCAGTTATACCTAACATACATATAGGTATGTTTGTCACAGTAAATATTGAAAATGTTTATTAGACATGACATGAAACCTACTAACCCAAACCGTCAGGCTAGCCCAAATTGATATTCTGTCTGTTCATAATAACTAAGTCTTTTAGCAAATCTCATTCAACTTCCTAGCATGTTTCAATTGGTCTAACCTTTTCAGTTTTGAGAGAGTTGACATGTTTTTCGAGGGCCTCTAACTGTTCAGCACTCGGCGTGGTGCCAGTGGGGATGTAGTAGGGAGTCAGACACATCAGATCACACAGTTTTTGATCCTCCTCCTTCAGAGTTTGTAAGGCCTTCATTCTCTCGCGTTTCTCTAACGCCAGTGTCTCACACTTCAACTTCAAGTCTTTCTCCAGTTGGAGCATTGACAGGTCTACTTTGACCTAGAAATGGAGTTGAAAATCAAAATGATCATGTATATATGTGCTATATGTGCATTAACCTAAAAAAGTAAGACTGTAAAGGAAATATTAAGTTAACAATTGTTGAATATACATTCTACCATTCATTTATCCTGACCATTCATTTACCAAATAGGTTCAGTTGATCTAATGGAAATAAATATGGCAGCTTATAATTTACATTTTTATTATTAGATTGAACTGGTCAAGAGCAGGCATATTATTGCCTTGTGTATTACTATTGGGGGGTCGAATAAAAAAAAACACCTAGCTTCCCAATTTCTTCTGTATGGGAGTTTATATATGTTACCCTAAACGGATACATAACTTTGTTTTGCCTTATTATATATATAGTTTACCTTATATTCTGGCATAGACAGTTCCTCAGTTAAAATATCTAACTCTCGTCTGTATTTTTCTGTTCTCTGTGAGATGGAATTTTTCAAAGATTCCTCTTCATTAACCATTTCATCCAGGAGATTGCGAAGATGCAACATGACAGTCCCAGATCTTTCCTGGCGTTGTGTTTCACAGATACCAATCTCACTCCATATTCTGTGTAATTTACACATGGCTACCTCCAAACTCTGTAGCAACTCCTTCTTTACCTTCTCTTTACTGAAAATACACAAATCAAAACAATTACTGAGTTATTCATGACGTACCCAGCCCATTTCGATTAATCAGTTGTGATCAGGTCTACAACGTTTTAAAACCTGGTGTTGGACCAGCTCTGCTCCCAGCAGTGCAACTTTGTTGTGCATCTCTATAACATGGATTAATTTTGCTATGCCAAAAACTAAGAGCTAGGCAGCATGAAAAATACTTTCATAAAGACGGATCAAAGTTATCATTGCTCATAAAAAATATATTTTTATATTTAAAACTTATCGATACATATAAATGCAAGCAGGTTCAGTTTTTTTTGTGGTTTGAGATCTAGAATGCAATGAAATGTATCATTAATACCATGAACGTCATAATATTCTGCAAATGAAAGCACAGTATCACTCATGACAATCTTTTGCAATTGTAAGTTTTTAAATACATTGCGATATATTCAAAAGAGTCGAAGGAGCTGGGTGAGTATTTTCCACAGGAATTTGACATTTAATTAATATATGTATAATAGTCTATATATAAAAAAAAAATACCTCGTATACTATAAAAAAAACACAACAGTTTTTTTTATAGTATACGAGGTATTTTTTTTTATATATAGACTATTATACATACAGTATATTAATTAAACGTCAGACTCCTGTGGTATTTTCATTATACTTTANACGTCCACGAATAATATAATGTCTAAAGGTGTAACTGTTCAACGACATCATTTTGTGTTTAAATGAAATAAGTTTAGATGATTATCAGTTATAAATATTGTGTGATCATACGTTTCAAAATACACCGATGGTAAGCACATCGAGGGTTCAAGTGAAATCATACCGGATTCATTCTGGTGGAAAAAACGAAAATGCCCTCAATCAAGTAAAATGATCTCTGGTGCAATATTTCACATGACTTATCTATTGATAATACTTACTTGAACGACATCTTGATTGTTTTCTTTTTATAAAATGCTCTCAAAAATATCCGACATGTTTTCCCCCCGATTCAAACTTCGTACACAAGCCACGGCTTTTGATTGGTTGACCTAAATGCAAGTACGATTTTCATTGGTAGAATAAGGGAAGTAACTCTACTATATTATTTACACGAGAACACTAGCCTTGCACTAGTTCTTAATTATAAATAAAAAAGAATATGCCTTCTTAGCGGGTGTTAAAAGGATGAATGAGTATGTAGTCAACCGGTATTTACGCAGTTATTGTCGTCTCCAGCTTGAATTTTTAAAATACAGTTTAAACAAGAATTAACGTATTTATATGGGAGAATTAATAGGAAAATATATGGCAAATGGAACAACATTTATATAATGCTCTTAATTTGTACACGTTAATTTCCCCAGAGACGTATATATTACATATAATATAAACTTCTCTGATTTTCTTTATTCTTTTACTCTTTAAATCCCCCAAAAAATTTGTATTTGACAATTTGTTATACATAATTTTGATAAAAAAATGAATTAATTGCTCTTTTCCTTTTTTCCATAAAACCATCTTTTTCAATAACCAAAAGGCATTGACATTTAGCGGCTTATCGTTTAAATGAATTGCATTAGGTTGGGAAATATTGCTGACGATCAACCATTCATTCAAGGTCTCAAAAATCGAATATTTTAAAATACGTTAAAAAAGTTGTACACGAGGGGGTCAGACAATGTTACTTTTATACCCCTGCAAACGAAGTTTTTTGGTAGGGAAGGGGTTATAAAGGAATCATCTGCTCTTCCGTCTGAACATGAACCTTGGAAGCGCAACTCCTCTTCAACCGTTTGTTGATTTTTGTTGTTACTTGCCACAGTGAAAGTACATTATATGTTGGTGTGCACAAAGAAAATAATTTGTAATTCAGCCATTTTTCCTGGAGTTGTGGCACTTGGAATTTTAATATCTGCTCCAGAAAATCTGTAAGCGCAATTCCTCCTGAACTGTTCGTTGGTTTTCATGTTTTTGTGTAACCTCTGCATGTAGTGAACGTACATCATATGTTGGTGTGCATGAAGGAAGGATTGGCTTTGGTTTTAATTTGTTTAACGTCCTGTTAACAGCTAAAGGGTCATAAATAAAGGATTTGTGATTCGTTTATTAGGCCTATACCCCCTGCGAACAAAGTCTGAATACCTTGATAAGATGAAGCGATGGTAATATCTTTCTGAACTCCCTCCCAGTTTTCTCTAGTTACGTTGTGTTGTTTTCCACAGGGAGGGCACTTATTTAACTTGCTGTATATTCATACATAAAAATGAAGATATAGACCTGTTGTGTCGCACTGCATTTCACCCTAAGAGGCAATTAATGTGGGACCCCTAGCAGAATCCAGAATCGGAGTTTACAGTCTGTGTCGTCTGATTTTGCGGCATGAACGCTGTAGTGTAGCCTGTACGTTGAAAATAAAGTTGGGACTGTTTAAAAGATGGCGACTGCGCGCCAAAAAAAGTAGAAGGTAACTTTTCAGAACATATTTTTTTTTCTACTTGAACACTTTTTTTAGCGACCAGCGGATGTACTGAAGCAATAGATATTGATACGAATGTTTAAACTTTGAGTGCTGTTATTCCACTCAAAAACAGCGTCTTTATTAAAGTATAGCGTTTGCAAGATGACAGGAGCCGGCAATCAGGATGTTCAGTCGACGACGAGTTTGAATAATTCTGAGTATATATCGACACATGATATAAGTTAAGCCTTTATATATTAATGATAATCTAACAGTGTTGCAGAATATGCTACAAACAAGTAGAAATATGCATTTTAAAGAGGTGATATCGATTTTTATTTTGTACGGTTTGGACACTCCGTAACTTACGACTGTGTACGGTCGAGACATTGGATGCAAAGTTGTAAAATAGTACGGTTGGGACAGCATATTCGCACATCGCGAGTTGCGAGAACTCACCTTCTACTTGTTTTGGCAGCTGCCATCTTTTAAACAGTCCCAACTTTTTTAACGAACAGACTACACTACAGTGATTAAAGAAACAAAACAAAAATCTGCTGCTCACTGCATCACTTGTTGAGTATCTTTTCTTTCATCAATCTTTTCCGGCGGTGATGCCTCTCTAGGCAGGTCTTCATATAAGGATTGAACGGGTTATTATTTTCAATTTCATGCTGGTATGAATGCAAATCAACGTAACATCAATATTTAAAAGTGGGGAAAAAAGGAATTACCAATACCTCCAATAAGATTCATCAGTTTGGAAATATGTTATACGACAAGCTTTACTTTGAGATAGGTAACCCTATCGTCCCGAGTCGAGTGACATACAAATATATACTATTTCGTCACATCGTTGTACAGGTAAAAAAACAAATCTCTCACTCAGTCATAGCTTGACAAAGGGACCAGTTGGTCTTGAAACNATACCTCGTATACTATAAAAAAAACACAACAGTTTTTTTTATAGTATACGAGGTATTTTTTTTTATATATAGACTATTATACATACAGTATATTAATTAAACGTCAGACTCCTGTGGTATTTTCATTATACTTTATTCCCTTTCATTAAAAAAATGTTACTCAAATGGGTAACTATTACTCAAGTGCAGGATTATTACCCATATACGCCGTATGCCCAACCTGTTTAAGAAAGCTACTGTAAGTATACCAAAAGAAGAAACACTATTGAGTGTTGTTGTTCAAACGGCGGGGGGNGGTTGACCTAAATGCAAGTACGATTTTCATTGGTAGAATAAGGGAAGTAACTCTACTATATTATTTACACGAGAACACTAGCCTTGCACTAGTTCTTAATTATAAATAAAAAAGAATATGCCTTCTTAGCGGGTGTTAAAAGGATGAATGAGTATGTAGTCAACCGGTATTTACGCAGTTATTGTCGTCTCCAGCTTGAATTTTTAAAATACAGTTTAAACAAGAATTAACGTATTTATATGGGAGAATTAATAGGAAAATATATGGCAAATGGAACAACATTTATATAATGCTCTTAATTTGTACACGTTAATTTCCCCAGAGACGTATATATTACATATAATATAAACTTCTCTGATTTTCTTTATTCTTTTACTCTTTAAATCCCCCAAAAAATTTGTATTTGACAATTTGTTATACATAATTTTGATAAAAAAATGAATTAATTGCTCTTTTCCTTTTTTCCATAAAACCATCTTTTTCAATAACCAAAAGGCATTGACATTTAGCGGCTTATCGTTTAAATGAATTGCATTAGGTTGGGAAATATTGCTGACGATCAACCATTCATTCAAGGTCTCAAAAATCGAATATTTTAAAATACGTTAAAAAAGTTGTACACGAGGGGGTCAGACAATGTTACTTTTATACCCCTGCAAACGAAGTTTTTTGGTAGGGAAGGGGTTATAAAGGAATCATCTGCTCTTCCGTCTGAACATGAACCTTGGAAGCGCAACTCCTCTTCAACCGTTTGTTGATTTTTGTTGTTACTTGCCACAGTGAAAGTACATTATATGTTGGTGTGCACAAAGAAAATAATTTGTAATTCAGCCATTTTTCCTGGAGTTGTGGCACTTGGAATTTTAATATCTGCTCCAGAAAATCTGTAAGCGCAATTCCTCCTGAACTGTTCGTTGGTTTTCATGTTTTTGTGTAACCTCTGCATGTAGTGAACGTACATCATATGTTGGTGTGCATGAAGGAAGGATTGGCTTTGGTTTTAATTTGTTTAACGTCCTGTTAACAGCTAAAGGGTCATAAATAAAGGATTTGTGATTCGTTTATTAGGCCTATACCCCCTGCGAACAAAGTCTGAATACCTTGATAAGATGAAGCGATGGTAATATCTTTCTGAACTCCCTCCCAGTTTTCTCTAGTTACGTTGTGTTGTTTTCCACAGGGAGGGCACTTATTTAACTTGCTGTATATTCATACATAAAAATGAAGATATAGACCTGTTGTGTCGCACTGCATTTCACCCTAAGAGGCAATTAATGTGGGACCCCTAGCAGAATCCAGAATCGGAGTTTACAGTCTGTGTCGTCTGATTTTGCGGCATGAACGCTGTAGTGTAGCCTGTACGTTGAAAATAAAGTTGGGACTGTTTAAAAGATGGCGACTGCGCGCCAAAAAAAGTAGAAGGTAACTTTTCAGAACATATTTTTTTTTCTACTTGAACACTTTTTTTAGCGACCAGCGGATGTACTGAAGCAATAGATATTGATACGAATGTTTAAACTTTGAGTGCTGTTATTCCACTCAAAAACAGCGTCTTTATTAAAGTATAGCGTTTGCAAGATGACAGGAGCCGGCAATCAGGATGTTCAGTCGACGACGAGTTTGAATAATTCTGAGTATATATCGACACATGATATAAGTTAAGCCTTTATATATTAATGATAATCTAACAGTGTTGCAGAATATGCTACAAACAAGTAGAAATATGCATTTTAAAGAGGTGATATCGATTTTTATTTTGTACGGTTTGGACACTCCGTAACTTACGACTGTGTACGGTCGAGACATTGGATGCAAAGTTGTAAAATAGTACGGTTGGGACAGCATATTCGCACATCGCGAGTTGCGAGAACTCACCTTCTACTTGTTTTGGCAGCTGCCATCTTTTAAACAGTCCCAACTTTTTTAACGAACAGACTACACTACAGTGATTAAAGAAACAAAACAAAAATCTGCTGCTCACTGCATCACTTGTTGAGTATCTTTTCTTTCATCAATCTTTTCCGGCGGTGATGCCTCTCTAGGCAGGTCTTCATATAAGGATTGAACGGGTTATTATTTTCAATTTCATGCTGGTATGAATGCAAATCAACGTAACATCAATATTTAAAAGTGGGGAAAAAAGGAATTACCAATACCTCCAATAAGATTCATCAGTTTGGAAATATGTTATACGACAAGCTTTACTTTGAGATAGGTAACCCTATCGTCCCGAGTCGAGTGACATACAAATATATACTATTTCGTCACATCGTTGTACAGGTAAAAAAACAAATCTCTCACTCAGTCATAGCTTGACAAAGGGACCAGTTGGTCTTGAAACGTTG